GTGCAGGCTGCCCAAGTGGCACCTCCAGGATGAAGGCCGGGGCCTCTCTGCTCTTCCCTCTCCTCCCTTGTGAAGTGAGATGAGTCTGAAGGCAGCCCCCCAGGAGTGTCCTCCTCCTGTGAGCTGCCTCCACTTCCCCCAGGCAGGCCCTGGGAGGATGGCCCAGGGGAGCACCATGACGGGCGCTGGATCAAACTCGCTTCTCCTCTTCGGTTCTTCTCACTAGTAGAGGCAAGATTCAGGATTTGGATCCAGCCTTCAGGATAGATGTAGACAGAGGACTTTGGTTTGCTTCTGCTTCTAGGCTCTTCGCACAGACCTGAGTCTGTTGGGGTTCAGGAGGTGCCCCACAGCTCTGCACTGCCACTTTAAAATGAAAGCTCCTGGGGTGTGCGGGTGGCTCAGTCGGTTAAGCGTCTGACTTCAGTGCAGGTCATGATCTCATGGTTTGAGTTCCAGCCTGTGTCAGGCTCTGTGTGGACAGCTCAGAGCCCAGAGCCTGCTTTAGATTCTGTGTCTCCCTCTTTCTACCCTCCCCCACTCGCACTCTGTCTCAAAAGTAAATAAACATTTACACAATTAAAAATTAAAAAAAAAACAAAATCAAATTGAAAGCTCCAGGGGTGCCTGGGTGGTTCAGTCGGTTGAGCGTCTGACTCTTCTTTTTTTTTAATTTTTTGTAATGTTTATTTATTTTTGCGAGAGAGAAAGAGGGGGAGAAGGAGAGATAGAGACAGTGAGTGAGTGGAGGAGAGGCAGAGAGAGAGAGAGAGAGGAAGACACAGAATTTGAAGCAGGCTCTGAGCTGTCAGCACAGAGCCCCATGTGGGCTTGAACTCACGAACTCTGAAATTATGACCTGAGGTGAGGTCAAACGCTTAACTGACTGAGCCAGTCAGGTGCCCTGAGCATCCGTCTCTTGATATCGGCTCAGGCCATGATCCCAGGGTTAGGGGATTAAGCCCCGAGTTGGGCTTCAGGCGGAGCCTGCTTAAGATTCTCTTTCTCTCTCCCTCTGCCCCCGCCCCACTCATGCTCTTTCTCTCTAAAAGAAGAAAAAATTAAAAAATAAAAACGAAATCTCTAGCAAGTAATTGCCATTCCCTCACCCTGGTGTTTTAGGGTGTGTATGCGTGTGTGCGTATGTGTGTGCGTTTGTGCACATGTCATTGTGTGAGGCTGGTTCACACGCGCTTATGTCCCCCTTGGGGAGGATGTGGTGAGGATCAAGGATAGGATTCAGGGATTCCTAGATATTTTGGACAACGTTCTCTCAATGCCCCTGCTAACTCACCATTTCCTGGTGTGGGCTGAGGTCAAGGATACTCATGAGTCAGCGTTTATTGGCCAAGGGAATATCTGTACTACAGCTCCCTGTCCCTCTCAGCTTTGCTGGTGTCCCCAGACTAGCACAGTGACCCCAGTGCCTCCCTCCCAGGAGCCAGCCCCCCGCAGGTCCCACGGTGTGCCTGAGAGTTTCCTGCGGAAGGAGACGCACCCTGTACGCAGCCCAGCCCCGGATCCCTGCTGCACTGTCATCCACTCCCGTCCCTCACAGACTCCTCCAAGTCCCTGGGACGGACTCATTCAGGCTGGTCACATTGGCCTTGGGAAGAAAGAATAGAATCAGCGACAGCCACTATGGGCTGGGCCTGGGACTTTGGCGTGGCCCGGGCTATTGTGATTCTGGTATGTGAAAGCAGGGAAAAAAAGAAATTAATTACTAGTATTTTTTTTTTTTTTGCCAGGGGGCAAATCTGTATCGCCTTGACATAAAGGAAAAGGCGTGAAGAGAGACTCGTACTATAGACCCAATGTCTGTGTCCCTTCAAAATTCAGATGTTAAAACCTAACCCCCAGGAGGCCTTTAGGAGGAGATGAAGTCACAATGGTGGAGCCCGCAGGAATGGGATTAGACACCTTCCAGAAGACACCCGAGTGCTGCCTTCTCTCTTCTGTGATGGAAGGACACAGTGAGCAGTCAGCGCGGTGGGGAGTGGACCCTGGCCAGACACCAAATCTGCCAGCCTTGATCCTGATCTCCGAGCGGCCAGAACTGTGTGGAATACGTGTTTGTTGTATTAGCTACCCGGTTTATGCCATTGTGTTAGAGCAGCCTGAGTGGGGTGAGCCAGTGACGAGGTCTTTGACACCAGGGATTATGTGTGGATCCCCCCACCCCCACCCCGTGTACTGCCACATGTGAGAGTGACTCTCCACGAGTAATTGCTGACTAAAGGTGGAATGAGTGGACACCATTCAAGAAGAATAAACAATGGCGCCTGGGTGGCTCGGTCGGTCAAGTGTCCCACTTCGGCTCAGGCCATGATCTCCTGGTTGGTGAGTTCAAGCCCTGCGTTGGGCTCTGTGCGGACAGCTCAGAGCCTGGAGCCTGCTTTGAATTCTGTGCCTCCTTCTCTCTCTGCCCCTCCCCTGTTCTCTCTCTCTTTCTCTATCTCAGAAATAAACATTAAAAAGTAATTTAAAAGAAGGAAAAAAGAAAAAGAAGAAATTATCTAAATTTAGAATCTTGGCTCTGTATTTCAACTCGCCACTTTATTAACGTAACCTTGGGTGACTCATTTTTAGTGCCTACAGCCAGTTTCTCAAAGTAACATGGAGTTATTAATTCCTCTACCTGTGTGTGTGTGTGTGTGTGTGTGTGTGTGAGGTGCATCTGCATGTGTACACATGCAAAGAAAGATGTTTATATCAAACATGCCTATGTGGTTGTTTTGGGGATTTGGAAGTTGGGTGGCTTTTCCCTTTTTTCTTTGTAATTTTACTAATATATGATTTTTTTTAATTAAAAAAACTTTTTTGTTTATTTTTGAGAAAGCGACAGAGACAGAATGCAAGTGAGGGAGGAGCAGAGTAAGGGGGAGACACAGAATCCCAAGCAGGCTTCAGGCTCTAAGCTGTCAGCACAGAGACCGACGCGGGGCTCGAACTCATGAACCATGAGATCATGACTTGAGCCGAAGTCGGATGCTTAACTGACTGAGCCACCCAGGCACCCAGATATCTGATTCTTTTTTAAAGATAAAAATGTAAATTGTACCCCAAATACTGTCAATGTAAAATTGTAATCATATGATAAAACAATAAAATCTTTCATACTTCTGAGTCTTTGAAATGGGAAGAATCTGTAAAAAAATTCCCATAAACCAAACCAAGTGTCATTCCTTCAGTTTCTTTTTTCTTAATTTGTGTGTACTAAATAGGTCTTTGTATTTGAGCTTCCAAGTTGATAGTGTTCTACCTTTTTCTTCACTAATAAGTCTTGGAAGAATCCTAGAAGGTAACATGAAGACCACTATTCTAAGAAAGTATCAAAAGAAATACTACATTATCTTACCTGGAAAAGCAGCACAGATTAGATTAAAAATCTAATACCTTGGGGCACCTGGGTGGTTCAGTTGGTTATTAAGCATCTGACTTTGGCTCAGGTCATGATCTCACGGTTCGTGAGCTTAAGCCCCACATCGGGTGAAGCCCGCTTCTTTCTCTCTCTCTCTCTCTCTCTCTCTACCCCTCCTTTACTGTGCCCTCTCTCTCAATCCTCCCCTCCCCCCAAACACCCAATATCTCAAAGAGAAAAACAAAAACCAGAAAGACGTTAATATTAAGAAATGTGAAACCAGTGTATCCATTTAACAAATGGAGTGCTACTACGGTTCACTAGTATTTACATGTAACATATATTTTGAACATTAAGAAAAGGTTAGCAGCTCTTTTAGGGAACTTGTGATCATTCTGTCTGCTTCATAGGATCCAGGGGTTCCAAAGAACCCAAAGAAGAATCCGATGGGTTCCAAACTGGGTGGCACTTTATTCCTCCAGCTATCTAGATTTCCATTCATGGCCCTCCAGCAATCAGCAAATAGTACAACTTGGGAGAATTTCAAAATACTGCTTTTCAGCCATAAAGAAATTCTCCCAATTGAAAGTAGAATTTGGTAGGTTTAATTATTTTATAAAAGCTTCAAGGGAGATTATGAGGCTAGCCAGCACATATTTATTTATTGTGCTAAAATCTAAGTGCCTTTTCCTTTAAATATTTGAGATTCTATCTACAGTGCCTCCGTTATATTCATTCAGATTATTCTTATATTCTAAAACAATGAAGCCTCTAAACTGGTGGAATGTTGCCAGAGGATTTCAACAGAGTTTGAAGGCAACATAACCAAAAGGCATAGTTTAAATTGGCTTAGGGAATGAATGGGCTCCTTATCAGAGCAGCTGAAGGCTGTACATAATTAACAGCCTCTGTCAACACTCACAGGGCCCCATATAGAACAGGCAGGCCGAGAGCCCTACAGAGTGCACCCTCTGGCTTCGGGCACCCCCAAATCCACAAGACCTCAACAAAAAGACAGCCCCAAGCTCCCACTAGAAGGACATGGATACATTTTAGGTATACTAGCAGGACCACAGAGCAACCGCTAATTAATTACCTGGAATAATTGTGTTCACATTAGCATTGATACTTCAAATTAGCTAGATATCCTCAAAAATATAAAACACGATTTATGGAGACAAGTTTATATTTGTAATTACTGATTTTCTTTTATTTTTTAAAATTGTATTTATTTATCTTGAGAGAGAGAGAGAGTGTGCAGGAGGAGCAGAAAGAGAGAGAATCCCAAGCAGACTCCACATTATCAGCAGAGCCCATCTCAGGGCTCAAACTCACAAACTGTGAGATCATGATTCGAGCCGACATCAAGAGTCAGTCGCTTAACTGTGCCACCCAGGCACCCCTGTAATTACTGATTTTAAAGTCTTTCTTGTGTTACTAATTTTAAAGGGTATGAAAATGGTCTATTAACCTCCCTTTTTTTATGATGCATTGTCCATTTAATTCAGCTTGGATATTTCTATATCAAGAGTATTAAATTCATTCTATGGCAGTTCTTAGTTGTTTTCATATATATTGAACATATTTCCCTCTCTAACCTGTACAAAAACCAAACCAAACCAAACCAATCCAGAGGAAGTTTCATTAAATAAATTTATTTGTTAAAATAATTTAACTCCAAATACAACTGTTGAATTTGCATTGAGTTATAACTACAATCCATGTTTTAATCGAAATGTCAAGGTTTAACAACTGACATTGTTACAAAACAATAAACTGCTGTTCAATTTTAAATGGTCAGTTGTATTAGAGCTCAACAATGAACTGTGAACTATATCTCTGGGAAACCCCAAATCAATAATGATAAGTCTGTTTCCAAAACCCACTGCAGTCATTCTTGAAACCCTGATCAAGATTTAATAGATGCACAATGACACGTTAATTAAAAAAAAAAAAGACCCCCATAGTCTCAAACATTTGATTGGCTAAGGAGACAGGTAAAGCTTACCAGCGAGAACACAAGGCTAGTGAGAAGAACAACTAAAACCCAAAACAAACCAACGAAAAACCAACAGCAACAAACGAAATCAGCACTTTCACATTCAGACATACACGGACAACATTCCCATCAGAAAACTCCTGAAAACACACAGCAGACATCCTTAGGCAACATTTCTTTACAAAGAAAAGCATAAAATATCAGTAGTTTTTCCACAGAAGAGTGACGGCAATTCTAGCACTTAGTCAAAAGTTCAGTTCTAATTCTACGAACCAAAGGAAAAGATCACCGGAGCACCTTTCAATAGTTGAAGGAAGATTTTACATAACGTTTTTGATCCGATGCTGGCGTGTTTGGTGTAAATTGAACAAAATGAAAGGCATCCGTTACCATCACTATCACAGCTTGAAAAAGAACCCCCCTTCCCAAAAGCTGCAACATAAAAGCAAAAAGAGGGAAAAAAAAGAACTTAAACATCGCTGCCTGTGTTAAAAGGAATACAGAGGAAAAGCTTATCACAAACAGCTAAAGAAAAAGTGGGTCTTTGGATCAAACCATAACATTTTTAAGGCATGTTAGAAAAACGTCCACTTATCTAGGTGCTAGTCTGATCAGGGCATAAAATAAATAGCGACACAAGGTCACCAGCTTTTCTCTGTGGCCACTATGATTTGTGTGCCAGCAAATTTAATCCTCCTGTTCTTAAGCTTGTTATTCACATCTCAACACACACATTCATTCAGACTGAGTTATAGTCATACGAGATGAAATACCGACAGTAAGAGCACAAGAGGGTTCCCATGTTTCTGGACATCTTTGATGCTTTGTCACTAAATATGAAGGGCTGTGTGCAAACACTGATCAGGCAGTCAAATCAGTTCTTGTTAACATCTTTACAGAGAAAGCCCACCTTACTGTCTGACACAAACACTGGGGATGAAAATCTTGATTTTTAAGTCATCTTTTCTACCTTACATTTTGCCACACTTCTCATATTTAACTTCTTTCTCTTGTCTGCATGGCAATCCGTAAGGGAAAACTGGAGAGTCTTTACAGGCATTATTAATATGTGCTCTTAGTGGTCTGTTAAATATGGAACTCTAAAAAAACAATCATTCTGAGAAGTTAGACGCTTCAAGTCTCAACCGATTCAGTAACAAATATTTCTATTTTTCAGTAGATAAATCGTACTTCTTGAATCTGATTTCTCTAAATGTTTGAAGTCAAATCAGCTGTTACAACATGCCGAAATCTGTTTCAGTAAAATTGGTTAGAACTTTCCATCCTGGAAACAAGGTGCTTTGCAGTTGGGGGTTATACAAAAAAACAAAACAAAACAAACAAAACAAAACCAACCTTGAGGAATGCAAATATTCACAATTCAAAGATTTTTAACAATCACAGCCTGGTTGGACCTACTGATCTCTGTTTGCTCATCTATGAAAAGTACTATCCACCTTTCTGCTATCGGCTGAGCTTAACGCCAGCTCACTAAACACTTGGGGGCTACCAATGATTTCAGAAAGTGTCAAAAACATGCAAATAATTGAAAAAAATGTTTTTGACACGCTATCTTCTGCAGTGGGGATGCTCAGTGTAGGCAATGATCTCTGACTTGTGCCAAATTCTCAGGAACAAGAGACACACATGCGCACGCAAACACACACTCCTCTCTCAGGTACCCACAGAAGACCAGAGGTTACTTGCACAAGTGTGTGAAAGCAACAAAGTGTGGGGGGGGGGCAGGACGCGGATCGCGGGCTCAGTGGTATTGCAGTTCTGAAGGCCAAATGTATCCCCAGAGGATTCGCTCAAGATACTCTCTCCAGCATACAACTCTGAAGTTTGTCCAAAACCCTTCTGCACTTGATTGTAAAACTTATGAATAGGTTTTTCCTGTGCCATTAGTCATGCAAATGGTAAATACTTCACGGTGATGAAAGCCAAAAATGTCAGAGCTTGAGCACCTTTGCAAAATAAAATATTCTCTCTAGCTTTATTCGCCACTTCAGTAATCAGGGCAAAATTGTTATAAGAAAATCTTTATATAATTCCCCAGGAAAATTAAAGATCAAAGGGTTGGTGTTTTTCTTTTTTGTCCCTTACCTTCCACTCTATAATTTATGTTCTACTTTTAAGCCCAAATTATTTCACATGGTTATTCAATTTTTAAATGCCTGCAATAAAGCTCTGCTACAGCAAACTGGATTTCGAAAGCAGGTTAGCCAAGAATCACACCACAACCAGAGCCCTTAAAGGCAAGATTTGTTGCTTTAACGAACGCAAAAATGCAAGATGTGTGTAGTGTCCTGTGAGGTTTCTGCAAACAGAACACGTGGATGCAACATGGCTTCATTTTCCTTACACGATGGTACTAGTTAATCTACCAGGATGCTTCTTGTGAGTAAGGCGAAGCAATCTTCCCATCACATTGCTTTCTTCTAGTCAATTAAGACCATCCCTGCTTTGTTAACAGAGGTGTAGGTTTGGGGTTTTCATTGGGATCAAACCCTTGTGAGAGCCTCCATTTTCTGCGGCAAAGCAGGTGACTTAACACATTCTAAAGCCAGACCGTATTCTTCCACAACCTGTTCTGATTTTTTTTTTTTTTTTTTTTTTGCTCTATCAAGGATCGATGCACGAGTTAGTTCTGCATCACACATTAGGATAACATCTACAATTAAGCATCAAATTTGAGGAACAGAAATACGTCAGCTGAGGAAAGAATCTCTCCCTGTAATGCGGTTGGCGGGTCAGCTGCTATGATCTGACTTGATGGAATACATTGGTTAGAAGCACTATCTCAAGTCTGGAAATTTCAGTACTCTCTTAGGAAAATATTTCTCCTTTACTTATTACTTTTTTTTTTTTCTCCTTAAAGAAGACAAAATATTTTAACTGCAAGTGGTCATCGGGATTCTTCTGGTTTCTCTCTCAAGATTACTTTTAATGTATACAATAGTTGCTTCTGTCCCCTTGGTGACAGTGCCACCACAGCTTCTGAGGGAGGTCACCCTGTAGACTGGCTGGCTGTGCCTTCAAGTTGCAGGTGCGCACAGGAGGCTGAGGCCGATGGTGAAAACTGTAGTCGCTGAACCCAAATGGTAGTCGGAGATCTCAACTGACAGTCGCTTGCTGGACGCTGAAGGAGGGCGGCCGTTTCACTGCAGAGTCACAGCACGTGTCCCGCGGAGCCCGCGGTCGGGCCGACGACGCCCGTCGGGGGCGGCCAGGTCCGAAGGCTACTGTATGTTACATGCGGAACAGCACGGGTCGTCTTTGTCGGGCTGCGCGGCGTAGTTCATCTGCCTCACGATTTCTGCAAAGAGTTCGTCCACCATCGTTTTGCTCTTGGCGGAAGTCTCCATGAAGGGGCAGCCCCACTCTTCGGCGAGGGCTCTGCCTTCGTTGGAGGACACTTCTCTCTCGCTTTCCAGGTCCACTTTGTTCCCCACCAAGATGACCGGCACTTTCTCATACCTACGAGAGGGCAGACGGAGCACAGGCATGGTAAACGTTGGAACAAGGTTTAATGGCTGAAACGCATTCTATCCGTTTTCATTCTGTTCTACTGCAAACACTCTGTGGTGGCGCCACACGGTATCTGCCCCGCTTGGCTTGACATCTACCGGGGGCGTTTAGAAGCTGCTCTCATGGTGGACCCTATCCGGGCTTTTTGAAATGAGGCTTTAAATTAGTCAATTCCACATTTTTGAAAATCAGTTTACCTTTCCAGAGATGTTTGGAAAATTCTTCTCAGAACCTCAGAATAAATCCTGTTGGGTGGGTGAATGTAACTTAACTTTTTCCATTCTAAGAGATGCTTACTCAAAATTTCAGTTGATGAGGTAACAGCTCTACTGACTAAGCAAACGATTTATAGTGGTCAGCGTTTTACTCCGCTCCATAAATATACAAACTGGTCATGTTGGAACCGTTCCTAAGTAAGACAAAAGATAGCAGAAATCATTCGGGTGGAAACTGTCAAATACAGTACATTCTATCCCTTTATAAAACTATTCTACACTAGCCAGTTGGTAGACATCATGGTTCTTTTCAGCCCGACAAGGAGTAAACATTTCAATCATTAGCTTTATTTGATGCCATCTCTTCTTTTCCTTCCAAACCAGCACAAGTACGCCACAGGCCAAATGTCTGGGCCTCTTCCTTCCCAGTGTTGAAACCTAAGCCCCACTGTGACTGTATTTAAGAGGCTGGGGCCTTTGGCCAGTGATGAGATCACGGATGGGATTATTGCCCTTGTGTATAGAAAAGAGATAGGATGGGGAGTGCTCCCTTGCCCCTATCCTGTGTGAGGACTCAGCAAACAGAGGAGTCCATAAAAGAGAGAAGCGGGCGCTCCCCAGACACGGAATCTGGCAGAGGCTTGATCTTGGACTTCCCGCCTCCCAACTGTGAGAAATAAGTTCCTGTTGTTTAAGCCCCCTATTCTGTGGTATTTTTGTTACAGCAGCCAGACAGACAAAGACAAGGGGTCTGTGAGTTATGACATCTGGAAAAAGCTAGATTAATAAGGATAACAAACGCTGTGAAAAGAACAAAGAAAAAAGGTCCTAAATCATTTTGGTACCAAAAGCTGATCGATGCTCTTCACAATGGTTATTCACAGTGCGAAGATACACGGTGCTACTCTGCATAGACAGTTATTTACTAATTTTGTTTATGTTTGTTGTTGCTAATATGTTTTCCTAAGGCTATCATTTTTAACATCATTTGTTTTTTAAAGTTTTTTAAGTTTATTTATTTATTAAAGCAAGAGAGTGCAAGCAGGGGAGAGGCAGAGAGACGGGGGTAGAGAGAGAGGGAGAATCCCAAGCAGATTCTGTGCTGTTAGCACAATAGCCCGATGGGGCTTCGATCTCATGAACCATGACATCATGACATGAACCAAAATCAAGAGTCGGATGCGTAATCACTTGAGCCACCCAGGTGCCCTAAACATCATTTTAAAAGCTTCTCGTGATTTTGGTATAAATCAGTGTATGTGTGTGTCCGCGCGCATGTGCATACCTTCCCCTAGGCAGAACGCATCTCTAATTTACAAAGGAAGCAAACCTCACACTCGTACACAAGGATAACACACGTGACTGGATGCAGCGGGAGTCATAGAGTTTTTATCATTCAGGAAACCGAGTGCTGGGCAGGTGGTTAATATTAGTGAGACTCCTTCCACGGCCTCCTCACTCTGTGAACACGGTTCTCTCCCCTCCCCCAAACTTGCAAAGCCAACTATATTCCCCATAGCGTCTCACTCTTGCCTTTGGCACTCGGTCAAACTTCGAATGGTTTCAACACGAGGGCCTGCCCCCACCAGCAGCCACTCAGCAATCTGAAACATAAAAACAACTTCAAAAGGTGCGGGCATAACCGTATCAACGGTAACTCTGGAACTCGGGTGTTCTTTTGCAGGAAATGGATTTGGACAAACTCCACTGTGTATCAGTGGCTTTATGTGAATTTACTGTGGTCCAACTGTGCCTCGTGCTTTGTGGCCTCAGATCATACCGAGAGCCATGGATGTGCGACACAAGAGTGTTTCGCATCTTCTAGGGCTCTTACCTGCAAACAGTTTCACGAACTCCGTGGCCTCTGCAATGACAAATGGCAGCAAGATGGAGCTGTGTCACAAATGCTGTGTGTCAGCTGCTTTGCATGCGAACCCTCTTGACCTGCTGTGCAGAAAGCCTGGCAGGCGCAGCCCAGTCCTTCCTGGACAATGTCGCTTCCTAATTTACGTTATGTGCAAGCATGTGACTGCATTTCATTTTTTCCTATGAGAGTATATACACCGCGGCGCTACTTTAAATCACTTTGGTTGGCAGGGAAAGAAATAAGTGTGAATACAATTCCGAAAAATGTATTGGTTGAATTTAATCGGGTTAAAACTTAATTTCAATCTCTGTGGACCACCCTTAACAAGGAAAGGGATGACATCATTTCTATTCTTAGTTAGGCAGTATATATTTTAGAGACTAGGTTTTTAGTTTAAATAAAGTATGAAGTCCTGTTTTATAGGTAAAGAAATATTTCCACACTTCTAATTAAAAGCTACAGCTATGTGGATTTTCAAAACCTGTAAACATATCATATCACTAGCAGTTGTATAACGCTGTTTGAATCGAGAATCCGAATAAATGTTGCCAACAGATTCTCAAAAGGGCAACGAACACTGCAAACCTAAGTCTGTATGTAACAGCACTTAGTGACCGTCACGTGAAGATGACAATTTAGTAGCAGAGAACCTGGCCATTTTATTACTGTCTGAATGGTCAGTGGTCTTTTCTAAGACCAAGATGCTAAAGATTCTAGAGAAATTCAGACCGACGTCCTCAGGAGACTTTCAGAGGTCTTCAGGGAACACATGTATTCTCTACATCTTGGGAGGGCAGAGGGTAAGAAACTGTGTCTCTTGCTGGTAACATTAATACACGACACAGCAGAAAAGACTGGAAACTAGGATTTGGAGGCTCAGCCTCCAGCCCAGCCACTGAGGCTACAAGACTGAGCAAACCTGTCACCCTTCTCCTGTGTTTCACTCCCTTGTCGGTAAAAAGGGAGGAAGAGGATCTGTTCCCACTCAACACGCAGGTTGCTGTAAAGCCCATGGAATGCCCTAGAAAGGCTGGAGGGCTGGGTAAACGCGGCGGGGGTGGTGCTTCTTTCCTGTCCTGCCTGCTTGCTGCTGAGGACGCGGCTTCTCTAAGTGTCAGAAGCGGGAGACACTGATGAAGGGAGGTGAGGAGCTCCCGAGGACTCCCGGGCAGGAGAGACTGACCCCGAGTCCAGGAAAGCAGCAGCCACCGGGTCCGGCCCTCGCCTTCTCCAGTCCCCCGGGCTGAGCATGAGCGTTAAGAGGAGCAAGCAAAGCGGAAACCTTCTCCAGATTCGGCCACCTGCTGCGGAAGGGAGGGCGAGGCTGGGCTGGGACGACAGAATGGGTCCTCTGTAGGGGTGGGGGTGGGGGGGGACAATGTCTGGGGAAACCTGGATCCTCTTCAGGGAGGTGGGTGACAAGGCAAAGGGGGAGAAGGCAAAAAGCCCTGTGTTGACACAAGAGAGGGTGCGCTGGGAAACCCTTCTCCCTGCCGCAGCGGGGGCGTGGGGAAAACCGACCAGTGACGCCCGGCTCCCAGGACCCCGTCCCCGAACAGCATCTAGCTAGTTCTGTGAATTTAGAAAACTAACTTCAGCTCTTAGTTCCCAGTTTCTTGAACTATAAAGTGAGCTGGACTGGGTCATTTCCAAGGGGGTTTTAAGATCCCAAGTTAAAAATCCAGACACACTGGGCCATTCTCACCATCAGTATGTATCATTTACCAAGTGATGGCTGACAGCTTAGCATGTTCTCAGCACAACACCCAACAGGATGATCTCTTTTTTTTTTTATTTAATGTTTATTTTTGAGGGAGGGAGAGAGAGAGAGAGCAAGAGAGCAGAGCACACATGAGCAAGCACGAATGGGGGAGGGTCAGAGAGGAGACACAGAATTCAAAGCAGGCTCCAGGCTCAGCTATCAGTACAGAGCCTGACGCGGAGCTCTAACCCATGAACCATGGGTCATGACCTGAGCTGAAATCAAGAGTCAGACACTTGGCCGACTCAGCCATCCAGGCACCCTTCCTTGGTATTTCCTTTAAGAGCATGACCACAGTTATGGATATGCGGCTCAAATAATTTTATTTTTGTATATAGCCTGCAGACAATTGTTTTATTGACATGATTTTTATATTGTTTATTGTATTCATGAGCATGATTCCACGACATATTGATAAATAAAACTAGTTCTTTATTTTTTAATGTTTACTTTTGAGACACACACACAGCAAGCAGGGGAGGGGCAGAGAGAGAAGGAAACACAGAATCCGAAGCAGGCTCCAGGCTCTGAGCTGCCAGCACAGAGCCTGATGTGGGGCTCGAACTCATGAATGGTGAGATCATGACCTGAGCTGAAGTCAGACGCTTAACTGACTGAGCCACCCAGGCACCCCAAACTAGTTCTTTTAAATAGCTCTGCCTAATTCACTGAATAGATCATCAGAAACCCAGGCTTGAGAATCACTTAGCTGTAGCACGCTGATAGGCTTCTCCATGATGTGGCTTCGTAACAAGTTCAAAACATTTGATGCTTTCCAATGGATTCCAGGGTTTTCAATGGCTTTCCAATGGTCTCATGTTTTCTCTCTCCCTCTCTCTTTTTTTTTTTTTTTTCCCCTGGTAACTGTCCTGATGTGTCTGTAAGCATATGTATATGTGTATGTATATTTTATTTGTGGTCATGTCTAAACTTGGCCAACTGCCAAAATAACTTGAGAATTAAAAAAGTACTGATCCCCTCGCCCTACTCCAGAGCTACTAAATCTGAATTTGTGGGATCAGAGACCCCCAGAGAGCCTTTTAAAAATATATATCTATGTGTGTAAGTTCTGAAGACTAATTGTGAGGTTCAGCAGGGTTTTGAG